GTCCTGAGTTCCTTCCATCCTGTGATGTTTCTTCAGTTGCTGCTAGAAATGTGGCCCCTTCCTGACATGGCTTTACAAAGAGGTGACAATGATTATTCTTGATAACCTGAAAATTTGTGTACAGGGAAATCATCTGCATTTGAGCCAGATAAAGCCATAAATTCTATTACAGAGGGTTCTAGGTAAATGTCTCTTTTCCCTCATTAGATGACTTTTCATCTATAGGTAAGTTAAATGAGGGAAACCCACAGAAGATATAAATCGGTATTCTTTAAGCATTTTTTCCAAGCCAGGCTGAATAATTTTATTTTATTTAATAGTTTGAAATGGAATTATGTTTAATAGAAATTATTTAAATCAATTCTTCTTTATAATTTTGAATTTATGTCTAATCCCATAACTTTACATCAAAAGTGAAAATATCAGCTACTTACTGATCATTCCCATTGTTCTATGCAACTTAAAAGTTAATTCACTTCTTCTTTCAAACTATTTTTTGAAATCTTGTCTAAAATTTACAGAATATAAAAAATGAAATTTTGTTTAAATGAATTTTATGTTTTCCCCCTTAAGCTCCAAACATATAAATGTCAGAAAATCTCAGATATTCCAACCTAAATAGCTAACTAAAATTTCTCTAAAAATAAAGTTATTGTCCATTTTTAGATGACATTTTAGAAATTTACATTTCACAGGTGCAACAGATCCAATACTACCAAATTCAACATTCACCATATGCAAAATTATTTTTAAAGCAGAAATGTATGTTTATTCAAAAATTATATTATACCATTTATAAATTATATTGGAATAAATTGCTCCCTCAAAAGGTAATAGGTATTTAAGCCAATTGTAAACAGTATGCTTGTATTCTTATGAAGGACTTGGATAAATACCTCTTACACATCTTGTTTTGTTTTCTTTCTGGACAGTTTTGAAAACAAAAAGTGTGTGGTTTTGGAATTTTATTTATCTTCTAAACAAGTCTGAAAACTGAAAACTAGATTAGGAATAAGACCATGCTTGAATCTCTATCATATGTAAACCACTTATAGTCCATTGCAATTTTTCAAAATAGTTGGGGATTGATTCAGTCTTAAAGTTCTATGCACATTTATTTCAGTTTTCATTGAGGTCAGTCTCATTCACCACAAATAATTTTGACAGAATAAATGAATTGATATCATTAAAAACACAAATATTCGCATTGAAACTTGAAGCTAAGCCAAATACTGACCAACACTTTCTGAATTGTAACATGTCCACTATCTACTATAAAAGTGCATTCTTGCATTTATATCTATGCATATTTGGTTTTTTTCTTAATTTGCAAAGTATCATTTGCACCCTCCACCTTTGAGAAACAGTAAAATTTGGCCATTTCAATCCACACAATTGCTATTTTATGTTTTTTCCCATAGTCCAAAGGAATGAATTCCCACACTTATCACAGAATAGACTCCATTATAGTATCTCCTTGTGTGGGGTCATCCTATGGATGCTTAGAAAATAAAAACTTGAACTTGTGAAAAATTATATCCTTTAAGCTGCTAAAATCAAGATGTAGTATGTTTCAAAGTCAAGTTTCCTTTTGTAGTCTTACTTATTTGCCACTTTTCAACTAGCAAATTGTGCTAAATAATTCCAATTGCATATTGAAATCAGTTTTCCTTCGACCAAAACAAACACACAAAAAACCAAATTCTTCTTACTACTGAAGATAATTACACATCCTGAATATGTATCCAATCTTCTACTTTTGTGCCAATATATTTTATATAACTTGCTGATTCTTATATGATCTAATGGTATCATTAATTTAAAATGCACCACTAATTTTTAGGCTATATATCTATATAGCAAACTTAAAATGGAATATATGCCAATGAGCTTATTGATGTAAAAATGTAAATACTATATCTGAAAGTTCAAATATCATGCCAGAGCTGTGCTCCTTTTATTTTGTGTGTTGAAAATCCCTCTAAAATGTCCTGATGGCTGATGGCAGCTTTTCAAGTAATTATTAATAAATACACACAAAATAAGAATCAAAAAATATATTAACTAACCAGACCAGTTAGACATTTAGATTAAACAACAGAAGAATACATAGCCTCTCAACAGGTTTTCTTTATATAATTTCTCTAAAGGGCCATAAACATATCCATAAACCTTTAGGCTGTTTGTGGAAGGAAAGGAAATCTGTTTCTGGAGATACACTGCCATGGCTCTAAGGGTTTCTTTTTGTGAGTGATAAACATGTTCCCCGAGGTCTGAAACAATGCTCCATTCTATTGATGCATTAGAGGGACCTCTGCTCCCATAGGACTAGTACAGAAACTTCAAATGTTTAAATTAACAATGTGACCTAGTTAACAATATTAGAGAGAACCTAGCTGCTCAGCTTTCCTGTTCATGAATGTATGGATTTTCAGTACAGTAAAGTAAACAAGTAATTTCTGTGAAAAGACTTAAGGAATGTCTGCCTACACTATGCAAACCTTATTGAAATAAAAGAAATCATGCATGCCCACTTCAAAAACATCCTTGAACAAATACTTGTATATTATTTTAGCATAATGCCAGACTTGTCAATAACGTGTTCAAGTTACGGTATTGAACTTACACAATAAAGACTTAATACACTATGGGAATGTTCAAAGCAAGGCCTCAATATCCTTCTTCAAATGATATTTATATTTCAACCTTATGACATAGATGCATGTATTTACTTTTCCAAAGAGAATATAAATAGAATCCATATCCTAGTATCACTGCTTTATCTCATTTTTAAAGAGGCACTTCTTCATATTTCTTAGAGCGTATTTTCACGATAATCTCTTCCTTTAAAAATATCAGGCAAAAATGTGTGCAAATATCACTGACAATAAAAGGAAAGTTATTTATTTTTAAACAAGCTTTGGAAGCAGCCACCCCTGAAACAATGGAAGGAAGAAAGGATATAAGGACTAGCTTGTGGAACAGGCAGGGCAAAAGGAGTATGAACTACAGGCCTATTCCAAATCAAATGTGGTAATTCTTTGATGTCTACCTATTTTCAGTAACAAGATGGCTACAAAAGTAAAGCATAGATCTCAAAATAGCCAAATCCATTAGGACAAACAGCTGTGTGTGTGTGTGTGTGTGTGTGTGTGTGTGTGTCTACGGTGTGTGTGTGTGAGAGAGAGAGACAGAGAGAGAGAGAGAACTATCACAATTAAATTGAAAGACTATAGGGGTGCTTATTTATGAAGTTATGTGACAATAGACATAACACAGAAAATCACGTTAGGGAAAAACACCCTTAAACGATGCTAGTTAGCTGGTGCTAAAGGGAAAATTGATAAAGTTGACCAAATATCCCTTGATCAAACAGCTCCAAAAACATTCCTGGAAACCGAGTTTACTCACAGATTGAACTAGATAAAGCAATTTCAAAAGGCATCATTGTAATTTGTTCATTCATTTAAAAATATTTTACACAATGCAGCCAACTCTCACTTGCTAATTTGAAGAAGAGCAGACACACAGCAATGGGAAATTAAGTTTCCAAATGTTGGGTAAGGGAGAGAGTGGGAATCATACTTAGATAGGTATACACATAAAATATGCCTTTCTGGTTATTTTTATATATGACCCTAACTTTATGAGAGGGGAAAGAAGCTGGCTGTACTGGTTGACATCCAAAGCCAGTAGAATTTTAAAAATTGGCAATAAATAGTGTATTTCAAGAGAAACATGTGAGACTGAAAAGTTGTCCATCCTCTGTACTTTGTTTCTATTTTATTCTAATGCATCATACTGCCTAACACTTGCTTCTGCAGTATATAAAGTCCAAGACTATAAAATATATGTCAGGTGGGCAAAAATGTAAGAATCTCATGGGTCGAGTTTTTACAAAGATAAGAGCAGCTGTGGCTTTTTATCCCCAGGTCATTCCAATCTCTATAATATTTATGGGCAGAGCAGAGTACCTGACAATTGTTATTCTTTTGCACTTGATTGAGTCTGGCATTTCTAAGGTGTATTTCAATCATATTATTTATATATATTTATGTATTTTTACAAATGTTAGGTAGGCCATCAATGATACTGCAAATTGGTGTGCTGATCTTGATTTTAAGATTTTTGGCTATAGAATTATAACTGGAATTTTTGAAGCTTTTGGCTAAAAATATATAAAGGCTGCTACATGCCTTTATTTCTGTTGGTTTCCAAGAGCTCCTTCAGATATTTTTCTTTCAAAAGAATATTTTAGTGGTAGATTTTCGATCTCAAAAATTGTCACTCTGAAGAGGTGGTAAAAATCTTGCTTTTTCACACTGGAATTTGAAATTTAAAGTAAGATTTTAAAAATGTGCTATAATTGTACAATTTCTATGAAATAAAAACTAAATAGCATAAGGATTCCACATCTAGGTTTGAATTATAATATGCTGTCTCAGATGCCCTCAGATGCTTTCATTATGTCTTACTGATGCAATATGTTCCTTCAATCTTTTGAAAAGAAAATCTGTACTTACAGGGTCATTAAGATAATTAATTTGAATATTTGAGAAAAATTGTATTGCTCTTGCTCACCTGATACCTATGTTATGTTGAGACCTGTTGTTTTTTAAGGAAAAATATATTTCACTAAAATGGCACAGATTCAAGATTGCATTACAAATTAATTTGGAATTCCCTTAAGCAAGTTCACTGAAAGTCTATTTCACTAACCTTCATTTTCATTAACTTTAGCAGAAATAGTTTTCCAGAGTTAGCATCTCATATATATAACACATTTATAACATCTCTAAGACCATTGAATATGTATGATTTATTTTATAAGCCTGTCACATCAAGAATTTATTAGAGCTCAATAAAAATATATATGTGCATGTGACTATATATGTATGTATATATTTCCAACCAGTGCACAGGAATTAGAAATTAGCCCCTTATCTGTACATGGCAATTTTATGTCCAAAATTAGCTGTCAAAACACTATTCATGTATGAGTTCTCTTTCTCTTGGTCAAAGAGTTTGGGGAGGGGGTGGGCAATGTTCTTAAAGTACATTAGACTGGGATACAATGGGTCTTAAATAAAAGACACATTGTGAAAACAGGAGTTAAAAAAAATCCACCCTCTTTTCGAATTCAACATCTTAATATGGGGAACATATCTTTTCACAAGACTCCAAGAATTAAACAACATAGAAGAGTTCAAGTGTTTAGTTTATCAGCTCCTCTGCCATTCCTTGTCTCCAAAATTCAAGGCCAGTGATAGTCACTAGGACACATTTTCTTTGAAATAAAAATCACTAGACAGGAAATACATTTATCATACTAATTTCCTAGAATCATCTAGTTACCTGTGTCCATTAAAAGTACATTGGAATATGACAATTTCAGAGAAAAACAATGAAAAACAATCACTATGTTAGCTGAAATATGGCTTCATAAGAAACAGGGCTACATTTAATTAGCTTCCATTGTGTATGTGTCTTTTCTGTTTTTTATTATAATTCATATCACTGGCATGGACTCATGAGCCAATCTTTTCCAATTTAAATTACTACCAAAGTTTACAAACTTGATGTGAAGATTACATTATATTTACAAAGAACTTGGCACTTAACAGAATAAATTATTGACTTTTTTCTTTAACTCCAGACGAGGGCACCCATGGTTCAGGCGAATGGGAAAGCCCAATGCCTTATTATATATTATGCTACATTAACATGAATAAATAAGTTTCCAGCTGGTCATTCCTCCACAGTGCTGTCCCTCTTGCTGAAAACAAGTACCTTCCATTTCTAATCCATGTGGAGTGCAGAGAAGTTATCAGTCCAGAGAGAGCAAAGGTTGCATGTTTTCTTCTTCATTTTTATCCATGCGTTTTAGTACTGTAGGATCCACTACCGACTGGGATCTGGAAATGATAAGGCCGATGTCAGTAAGTTATTACCAAATAATCATGCTCCTTTCTCGGTCTCTTCTCTATTATTACTTCTCTCTCATGCATGCGGATTATCTTCCCTACATCAAGGGCTTTATGAACGGAGAATGATGCACGTTTACGGAGGGACATGCTTACCATGGGTTTTGCATCAGAGGGAGAAAACAATCCCCTCTGAGCTCTAAATAAAATAATGAGCAGCAAAGGATTCTGAATGTACCATAATAGGCTTAAGTTCTCCTCTTCCCAATCCATCAAGAGTCTTTTCTATGAGAGTGAGAATTTATAGCGTAGGACAGATGGATGATAATAGCATATTTCCAAGTAGAAAATTATTGCAGTGAAGCTATTGTTATGAGAAATGAAATAGAAATGAGAGGAGTCTTGGTTCCTGTTTTAAAGATCTCTGTTAAACAAATTCAACACGAATGTGAATTTTTAACCACTTTTTAAATGTTTATTTATTTATCTATTTTGAAAGAGAGAGTAAGAGCTTTGGAAGGGTAGAGAGGGAGGGAGAGAGAAAATCCCAAGACGCTCTGCACTGTCAGTGCTAGGCCTCACCAATGGGGAGATCAGAACCTGAGCTGAAATCAAGAGTCCATCCCTTAACTGACTGAGCCACTCAGGCATCCCTAACCATCTTTTTTTATTATTATTATTTTGTATGATAACATTAGGAAAAAAAAATCAAAATTTGAATGTGAGTTTTTGTTAAATTTACCACTAGATCATCTGCATAAATTCAGTCTTACTCTAGAAAGTTCCATGAAATGACTTAAGACTTTAAAAAAGTAAAAACCCCTCTTAATGACGCAGCAGCACTTTATGAATAGAAGAGCAAGTAATTTGAACTCCTTACACATGCCTGTGATAGTAGGTGGGGATTATAGCTCAATTCATCATTAGGAACCAACTTGAAACTGGGAAGGAGGAAAGTCAATGAAACATACTACTGTTATGGCAGGAAACTGCATTCTTAATAGCTATGGCATTAAAGAAGCAGCTGCCCTTTTTAAATTCTCCTCGGTAGTGAATTTTCCCCCTTCTGCTGCATTCCAGCCAATTGGCTATTGCTGTGGCAATGTGCCTCTTAGCAGACCTCATTAACTCTCAGAAAGAAAGACTATAAGCTAAAATACAACTGCACATGCTAATGAAAAAGAACAGCAATGGAACTAATTATCAAAGCAAAAATAATTATAGGATTAACTGATTAACTGACTCATTTACTTAAATAAACTTAACTTCATTCCTAAAGAGGGAGTGAAAAGAAAGGGGAGGACATGAAAACAAGAATGTTTTATTACCTAAGTCGTTTTCACTATTTTATCTCAATAATTGGTTATACATGTGGATAACAGAAAGGAGACTAACTAAAGTTGAATGAGCGGATGAGTGAGAGAGAGAGACGGGAAGGGAAAGAGGGAGAGGGACAGGGAGGAGAAGGGGAAAAGAGGAGGAGGAGGTAGAAGGGAAGGAAGAAGAAAAGGAGGAATAAAAGAGATTTTGTATCAGTTTTTAATGCAATAATAATTTCTCTTTGGAAAAATAATTTTTTAAAAGTTTATTATTTTTGAGAGAAAGAGAGACAGAGCATGAACAGGAGAGGGGCAGAGAATGAGGGAGACAAAGAATTTGAACCAGACTCCAGGCTCTGAGCTGTCAGCATAAAGCCTGATGCTGGGCTCGAACTCACAAACCAAGAGTTAATGACCTGAGCCACTCAGACACTTAACTGACTGAGCCACCCAGGTGCCCCGTATCTTAGGAAAAATGATTTATTTGGTGAATATAATGCATTTTAACACAGGGGACAGTGGCACAAAACACTTAGGAATTAGACCTTTAACACTGTTTTATTTAGACTCAACTAAAAATAAATGGCCTCCCAAGAAAAATCCATGTTAAAACACAGAAAAAATTTCATTTGATGCCCCACACTTAAGTATTAACTTGAGTACTAGTGCCCACTAAGCTCTAAATTCCAAAAGCAAGGTCATGACCAGTTTCTCTCCTTACAGTGAACACAATGTATATCACAGTCTGTTACACAATAGGACCTCAGTAATCTTAAATTCTACCCAATAAATAGTTTCCATACTGAATAAGCTGGGTATTAAGCATTTAAAACCAAGAGCAATAAAGATAAAGCAATTTATCCTATAAAAAAAGAAATTCTTAACAGAAAATCCATTTTAAAATTCCCACAAAGTTAGATTTATTCTATAAATGTTGATGCATAACCTAATAATATTAAATACATACCAAAGCTCTTCAGACAGCACAAAGTACACAATTTAAGCATTTGCCAAAAGGGTCTATTAAAACATATATCATGCACACACGTACACACACACACACACACACACACACACAATCTTTTAAATCCTTATGTTCCCTGACTATTTTTAAAAAGTGATTAGAGGATATGGTGATTTTAATAAAATATTTTAAATTGCAATGCACTATTCAACCTGGGATTAAATTCCTAGTTTGCTTTTATCATGAACTACCAGTATCAGAATTGTTGGATGATGAGTGCTGGCTCCATATATAGAACAATTCCTCAATAAAAGCCAAGCAGAAATGATTTCTGATTAAGGTTTTTTGGTATTTAATTGTCCCAAGTATACCATTATTTTAGTCTAGATTTTTTTTTGCTCTCTTATACAAAACAATAGGGCTGATTGTTTTTTTAATTTTAGGTTATGTATTTTTGACAGAGAGAGAGCGCAAACAGGGGAGGGAAAGAGGGAGACACAGGATCTGAAATGCGCTCTGCACTGAGAGCAGAGAGCCAGATGTGGGGCTGGAACTCACAAACTGTGAGATCATGACCTGAGCTAAAGTTGGTCGCTTAACCAACTGAGCCACACAAGTGCCTTACAACAGGGCTATTTGTGTGGGATCATAATTGTTAGTGAATGTGCCTGTTGCAGCTACAATAGAAGGAGCTGTTTATCATTAACTCATAGTATATGGGAACCACTTCCACATAGCCTCTACTGTCTTTGCAATGAAGAACTTCTATTTTTTTTGCATGAAACCCAATAATTTAAAATTAATGATTCTGTTATCATTGATTCATTTATTTCACAAAGTTGTGCTATACCTTTGTGTTTAAGAAGACAGATTTTAGGGGCGTCTGGGTGGCTCAGTAGGTTAAACGTCCCACTTCAGCTCAGGTCATGATCTCGCGGTTCGTGGGTTCAAGTTCTGCATCGGGCTCTGTGCTGACAGCCAGCTCAGAGCCTGGAGTCTGTTTCAGATTCTGTGTCTCCCTCTCTCTCTGACCCTCCCCTGCTCTCTCTCTCTCTCTCTCAGAAATAAAGAAGACATTACAAAAAAGAAGACAGATTTTAGACAGAAATGGATTTCAATTCCAGTTCTGCTATTTGCTAGCTGTGACCATAAGAAGGCTATTTAAACTTCCTAGATTTTGTTCTTTTAACTGTAAGATGGAGAAAATAACACCCGCATCATACAGATGTACTGAGAATCAAACTCAATAATGCATGCATAAACCCCAGCACAAACTTTGGCACGTTGCAAAGGTAGCAGTAAAGGAAATAACTGATGGAATTCAATTGCCAGTCTTCCAATATTAGTAGTGCTACTTTGTGGCTATGTGACACATGGGAGTTACTTACCTTTTCATTGTCTGGATCTCTTCACCAATGAGAGAGGAATAGTACTACCTCATTAGTTGTTTACGGAAGCAACGAGTCAATGTATACTAAGCATTAGATGGAGTTTGACATGTAATAGCAATAGATGTGGAATATTATTCAATAAAATCAGAGCTCATATAACCATGGCAACATTAATATTGCTGCTCACTGTAGCTATTATGCGCCTACCCTCAGCACTATCCTAGGTACTAGAGATATAAGGCAAAAGACATTCCTTCAGTTTAAAACACCTGTGATCTCTTGAACTTTGTATCTTTTCATGTGACTATGGTATTTGTCCATGAACTGACACAGGGAACAAAGTCTTCTTCCTACACATCTAGCTAAATTCCCCCAAAAGAGGAAATATTTACAAGCCTTTTACAAAGGAATGATTTTTTTTCTCTCAATCTAAGATAATATAAAACCGGGGGGTGGGGGCAGAATGGAGAAGAGGAGGCAATTTTCTCCCATCCTTGATAGGGAACTGTAATTCCCTGACTTAAGAGAAGATGAGACTCAAATGAAATAACTTTCTTAGGCTCATTATTCACAAGTTTCAGATAGCACCCTAAAAACTTCATATGATACAAAACTTAAACCAAACAAAGGATGTCTGAAATTCTAATCAGTCCACGTTTGAAGCAAGAAACTCAGGGTTGGGGAGGTTGACGTGCTGTGAGCCAAGTCTACAGAGGACAGAATGGCCTAATTAATTGAAGAAAATCAAGATCCAAAAAGGCTTCAAAAGGTGGACAGATTGAGCCAAATCTAACAAGATGGTGTTAATCAATTAAAACTATCTGCTTGGAAGAAAAAGCTAAACACAGAAAGGGAGAATTATGAGGATATGGATCTATAAGTAAAGAGCCTTCTAGTGTTAAGGAGTCTAATATGAGTCAGCAATGTGCTTTGGCTGAACCAAAGCAATAGAGTCAACAACAGAAATCAAAGGAAACCAATGGGGGCAAAGCTAGGATTCTGTAATCTAAATGCAAGTAGTGATATCATCAAATGTCACCTATTTAATTCTGGACGTGGCACCTAACAGGGGCCACTGACAGCAGAGCACTCCTTTATTCACTCCACTGGTACCCAGTGAATACGCTCTTTGTGCCAGGCCCTACTCCAGGCACTGGCAATTCAGAGAACAGGATAGACAAAGCCACTAAAGTCTTCATGAAACTTAAATTTGGGGAGGGGACATAGAACTAAATAAAATCAGTGATCTGACAGACAAAAAAAAGGAAATGAATGATAGGGAATGACCAGAATGAGGAGGATGTAGACCAAGTGGTTGAAGGGCACCTGGGTGGCTCAGTTGGTTAATCATTGGACTTTGGCTCAGGTCATGATCTTACGGTTCAGGAGTTGGAGCCCCACATTGGACTCTGTGCTTACAGCTCACTGCCTGGAGCCTGATTCAGATCCTGTGTCTCCCTCTCTCTCTGCCCCTCCCCCACTCATGCTCTGTCTTTCTCTGTCTCTCACAAATAAATAAAAATTAAAAAAAATTAAAAAAAAAAGACCAAGTGGTTGATAAAGACCTCTCTTAAGGAGGTGACCTTGGATTGGGAGGTGCAGGAAAAGGGCATTCTATGTAGGGGTGGCAAGTGGAAAGAAGGATATTATGTCTGAAAGATAGGGAGGAGAGAGAAGGTGGGAAAGTCTTAGAGGGATGAAGAGGGACATTCTTAGAGGGATGAAGAGTTTTGGAAATAACATTTAGCAATTAACAGACACCTCTGAGAGCCCATCCACAGACTGACTTGATGGGAGAGCACAGAACTCACATTAAGAAGTCCTATTTTAAGAGAAGGGAGTTGAGAAGCCGACTTGGCTTACACATAAGCTTGCTGATGCTGAAGAAATTAAAGCTGGAGGTGTCTCCAGCCTTTCTATTCTTCCCAAGGCATAGTGGATCAGCCTGGGGAGAGGAATGTAGCATGCATATCCATGACAGTAACAACAATAGCAGCAGCAGCAAAAAAAAGTCCAGCCTCTGAGAACATGGTTGCCCCTGCTTGAGCAGAACTATGACCAAAAGACCTTAAGGTTTTCATAAGGAAAGATGCCAAGACAGTGTGAGAGATGACAGGTGGGATGCTTGGGCCACCTTGAGCTAGATGAAGAGAGACCTGCAGGGGCTATGGTTCTTATATTTCTATAATGGAAACTGAACCAAGAAATATTTGTTGCTATTATCCAAGTAAACTCTGATATACTGTGGCTTGGGGGAGTCTGAGAATTCAATACTCCTGGTTTGCTACAGAATGCAAACTCAGAGGCAGTTATGCATTTGGGCATGTTCAGCAACTCCCCCACTTACCATCACCAATAAGTGGTGGCTAGATATGATCATATCCACAGTGAATCCAAAACACCTAGGGAAGTGCCCATTTCATAACATGTGTTCGATAAATCTTCATTGATTAAAAGAAAACAGACATAAAAGTACCATGAGAGTCAATGCAAGGAGTCAGAATCTCAGTCAAGAATGAACTTTAGAAAGATTAAAACTGTATGAAAATAGAATGCTTTGCCCCATGAATGGCTAGACCTTTAAACCAGAAACACGGCAGAGATATTTAAAAAAGAATCAAAGATTTCAGTGTACTGTTTGAAGTGTGTATGCGTGTGTATGTGTTTGCCATGAATCCCTTTCTTCAAATGAAATCTTATGCAAAAGTCCAGTACATTGCTTAGTTAGAAAAAAGAGTTGTTCTCCTTGTGGACATGGGCACTGTCCCCACCCCACTTCTTTGGCACTCCCCCAGAACTCTGAGGGTACTGTTTGAAAGACTACTTGATTTAGTGGCTCCTAAGAGCCTGGTTAGATTGTCTGTGAATACAGAACAAAACTGTGTGGACATTACCTTGAATGATTTTATCTTTGACTTAACTTTCTTAAACATCTAATCATGTAGGAATAAAAGGATTTAAAATCCCACCACATATATATTCCCCAAAAGTATAAAACCTGGAGTTAACTTGGGGCACCCCCACACTGGCTCCAGCACACTTCCCAGCCAGCATACCTCTTCATGGACTTGGGGGAGAGCTCCTTTTCCACCTCCTTTACAGGCATACTGTAGGAGTCCACATTGTATTCACTGTCATCGTCGTACTCTTGATCTAGCAGTGTTCTTGCCCAGGTTCCCATGTCATAAGGGGGCAGCATTCCTCCAAACTCAGAAGGCAGGATCTCAGGATGGATTAGCTGATGTAGACTGTTCAGGTTGTTACCATGCAAAAATATCTACAAATGCAAGAAGAAGGATGAGGGGAAACACACACAGGAGAATAAATACAATCCAAATGCTAGGAGCAGGGAGAAAGGATAGGAAAGGCAAAAATAAGAGTTTTCCATGTCTGTTAAAATATTTAAGTCCTTCATCCACTCTGTAAAACAGACAGGGCTGGTATTGTTATCCTAATATTTCATATAAAAATCCTGAGGCATGGAATTTTAAACAGTTTCTAGAAAGTCAGAGGGTGGTTGAGTTAAAGAGGTGGATCCCAAAATTTATAGTTTGAGGTCATGAGAAGAATCCAATGTGCATATTGATCTGTACATCATCCTGATGTTGTGCAAAGCTAATGGTGTGCTTAATGAATGCTGTTAAAATAGACCATTCTCATAAGGGACTCATCAACTATAGAGCCCATCCAAGTTATTAAGCCCAAAAGCTGTTACCACTTTGGCTTTCTCTTTATCATCAATAAAACTAAGAATACTGTAACCACTAGATTGCTGCTTTGTAATGCAAAGGGTGTAATGTAAATAAAAGTAGATTACCATCATCATAATGAAAGGTTGAGTGAAGGTTCACATCCCAAAGGACTTAAGTTCTAAAATGTTGCCAGTATCTTCTCTACTAGTGGTTTCCATGTTTATTGTTCAAATAAAAATGGAATAATGGAGCAAAAATGTAAAGATGTATGTATACAGTAATTATTGGTATTACTGTCTACATTGAGCTTTATTTTTAAACTGGAAAATTATTCAAGCTTATATGCAAGATTTGTTCCTCCATAAATGCTACCTCTTTTCTCTACTTTCATTTCAATCTCAAAACTGTAGATTGGTCTTTTCTGAAAAAGCATTGTTGTCATCTCAAATAATTTATAGAACATTTGTTTAAGGATTATAGTTTATAAGTAACTTAGAAATAGTCACTTATAGTTTAAAAGTGACTCATACTTCAGGTTCATGATGAACAGACTAATATATTTAGCTTGGCTTTCTGTACTTTTAAAGTCACAAAAGTAAATATATGGGAAAACAAAGAAAAACTAATCTACAACATCAAACAAAATGATAGAGATGTGAATTATTAATCAACAAATAATTTCAACAGATTATGGACCAGTAAAAGCAGATGAGAGAGGTTCACTGCTGGAATAGGCAGAGGAAATGGCTGCCTGAAATACATGATGTGGAGCCAACAGAGGTAGGAGATGCCATCTGCTCCAAAGTACATTACGTCAATTGCAAATTTCACACACTTCCACTCCTCTTTGCAGAGTACAAAAGCCTCCCTACCTACCTCCACCTCACACACACACACACACACACACACACACACACACACACACACAGAGTTAGGTTCTTCTCAGAAGAAATTAAAATAATTGGGGGGGAGTGTAAAATTAAGTTCTAGCATCTGAAACTTATTAGTTATACAACCTTATTTCATTAGATGTATTTCTTCATGTAACACATCTACTTTCAAGTCATGCATGAGTTATCATCATAAATCCTTAGAGAAGTAAATGTAACCCTAGGACACTACTTCCTCTCTCTTTCCCAACATTCTGCTACCTCCTCCCTCAACATCATTTTCTGCTTTGGCCTTGCTTCCTCTTTCACTGAAAAAATAGGGCAACCAGATGAGACCCACCCACCAGCATCTGTGTCCATATGCTGTGCTTCTGCTCCTAGTACAATGGAAAGATAAACTCTACAAAGGCCAACCTCTCCACCTGTGAACAAGAATTCATCCTCTCTCCTCTACTCCGTTATATTGCTCTATAAGTTCTCTCCTGTCTCTCTTACACCATCAAATTTCCTCTGTCTGGTGGATCTTCCCCATTAGAGGTCACACCTGTCAAATCTTCTTCTCGCATCCCCTCTCAGAAAGATACACAAAACCTCACTTGGCCAGACTTCTACTTTCAGTTATTATCCTATTTCTCTCCTTCTCTTTATAAGAAAACTCATCAAAGGAGTTGTTTATATTCACTGTCCAAATACTCTAGTCCCATTTTTCCTGAATCCGGTCCAAACAGGCTTTTCCTCCCACGATAGCATGGAGATAGTTCTTGTCAGGCTTTTCTCATTGCTAAATTCAGTGTCCATTTCTCAGCCTTTATTTTTCTCGAACTGTCAACAGCACCAGATATAAATGATTCTCCTCATTGAAACACTCCCAGCATCTCACGATTTTCTCCTACTTTGACACATGTTTCTTTTCAGTCTCTTTTGCTGATTTTCCTCATCACTCCAACGTCTTAATGTCACAGAGCTCCAGGCTTCAGTTCTTGGATTTGTTCTCTTCTCTAGCTGTACTTACTCCTTGGTAACCTCATTCAGTCTAGTGGCCCTAAATATTGTCCATACACTGAAACATTTATATATCGAATCCAGACATCTCCTTTGAACTTTCTATTGCTATTTCTACTCTCTACTTAACATGTCCACTTAAAAGTTTGATTGGCACCTCAAACTCAATATTTCCAAAACTGAACTCACAACTTTCTTCTCAAAATCTTAGAATTTTCTTAAATCTTAGAACCTTAGAATCTTCTCAAAATCTCAAAATTTTAATTTTTGCCTTAGATATTTCTTTGTTTCAACTAGTTCTGGATAGTGGCATCATTTATTAAAGTTTTGCTATTTTTTTCTGCTTATATTTTTTTTTTACTCTTCCACCATTTCATGCAAGAAGTCTTGTCTTTGTGGGTTCCCTAGCCTCAGAGTACCTTACAATTCTAAGAATTAGCCTGAATAATACTTCTCTTTTATTTCCTTAAACCATGCCATTAATGAGATTATGGTAAGTGACCTGAATGGAATGGAGGAAAGTGAAATACATTTGGGAATTAGCAAGGAATAGCAGAGTCCACCATTGAGGAACAGGTGGAAATTTGCACCCATCAGTAGGGAAAGCTATATCCTGTCATTTCTTGGCAACTGGCAAGACCACAACCCTAGAATGGTTGAAGGGTGCATGAGAGTTGAAGCCTAGCTATTGGGTTCTAGCTTTATTGGGAGCAGAAAGAAATCTTAATTCAAGGAGCTAATACTGGCTTAACCAATGAAGATGTCAGAAGTGGCCATGATGGATGGGAAACTTGGTTCCGCATGAAAGACTTCAGATATTGATGAGGTTTTGAGAAGAAGGGATCCCTATACCACCTCAGGTTCATAGTCCTATCCATCCAGCATGTTGGAAACTCAAATTCAGATTTCGTTTAATGAAAAAACAAGAAAGAAAGAAAGAAAGAAAGAAAGAAAGAAAGAAAGAAAGAAAGAAAGAAAGAGAAAGAAAGAAAGAAAGAAAGAAAGAAAGAAAGAAAGAAAGAAAGAAGACAAAGAAAGAAAGAGAAGAAAGAAATAATTAGGGGTTTCCTTTTTGTGACAAAAGATTCACAATTATTCCTTAGGTTTTCTTTTACCAGTTTTTCAGAGCATAGATTTATAACATCTGAGGTATAAAGTGTTTGAGTACTGTTGTGATGCTGAATGAATCACTTTACAGGAATACCTGTAAAGAAATATAATTGCTTTGTACGCTAAATTATTTAGTTAAGTAAAAGTTAAAAGTGTTTTAACCTGTAACTATTTGTAAGTCATATAGTTTTAACTAAAATGGTAAAGCTCAGATACCTCATTTCCATCTGGAAAATGCTAGCAAAGAATTTTTCTAGGCATTGTCAAAATTGTTCAGTTCAAATAACCCCAAACCCGGAACTTTCCTCATACTTTAGACTTGATCCTCTTTAGTCTTTTTCAAAAGAGCGGAACATTGTGCTCAGAATAAGTCACTCCTGTACTCATAGTCTTTCAAAGTATTTCTCATTTCACTGACTGAAAGCCCAGACCCTTGCAATGGAATGCAAGGCCCCATGTGATCTGGCACCCATACTCCCTTCTTTCCCATCCTCTACTACCTTCCTCAGTGGCTCATTCTGCTCCAGCCTTCTGAGCCTCCTTGCTTTTGCTAAGTATACTAGGCATGTTTCTACCTAAGGGGCTTTGTCTTTTCTATGCACTCTGTCTGGCACTGCCTTTCCTATAAATCCACATATTCAGCTCTACTACCTCCTAGCTGTGACTTTGAGCAATTTGCTTAACCATCTGTGCCTAATTTTTCCCATCTACATAAGGAGAAAAATAACACTGCTTCCCCTAGAGCCATTGTTGTAAGGATTAAATGAGTTAATATATGTAAAGTACTTAGAACAGCATGTGGCACAGAGTGAATACTACAGAAGCATTCACTAGTATAATATGTACTAAAAGCCCCAGCAGGTGTTTTGGAACACCTGATCATCTCTTCATAAAACAAAGTTTGGAAAGTGTTATTTGTGGAGCACATCAACATTTTTCTGAATTCTTACATGTAAATTAACTTGATTCTCACTGATAGAAACAATTCCTGATATAAATTATAATTGTTTACAGAATTCTTCCTCCTAAACTACTGAAAACTTTTCAACAAATTCATATACAGAAGACCTTCTGTTCACCAATGTTTGATACAAGCACATACTTAATTACTTCTCTTTTATGCTCACAATGAGGCTTCTACAACACGGCATGGAAATACCTGAAGTGCCTTCTCATTCATTGGGAAACACCAGAAATTACCTTCAATAAAGATTTAGAAGTAAAGTATACTTTACTTTGGAACTAACCATTTGAAAATTGGTCACAGCACGGTGGTAAAAATAGCTCTAAATCTGGAGCTATCTGGATTCGTATACTAGCTCTGCAATTTTATAGCTGTGTAACTGAGTAAGCAAGTTACTCCATCTTAACACTTACTTTCTTCAGCTCTGAGATAGGAGATAATGCTTACTAAATTTACACCTCAGAAACTTTTGGAGGCTAAAATGAAATAAGGTGCATGAAAATGCTTTTAAAGTCTATATTATTAATAATAATGGTAAATGTGTTCAGCATTTATCGTGTCCCATGCACTATGCTAGATGCTTTATATAAAACATCTTATTTGCAGAAAAAATGATTATTTTGTTGTATGTACTTTAAATACCCTCTTTGTTAAATGAAACTGAGTCTTAGAACTCAAGTAACTTGAAATCTAAAGAAATATTAATATTTTTAAACATCAGCATTCTTTCTGAAATGTGATTGCTCATGACAATCACTACAAAATTATATTAAATATGACAAGATTCACTGAATCAAGATGATACATATTGAGAAATAACTAACATTCATATATCCACTTATAAAATGATAAATTTTCTCTAGCTCTTACTTGAAATTAAGTGTACTAATAACAATATAGTAACATGGCATATTTTTTTTTTTACTTTAAACTGAGGCTTTATAATGAATGTACTGAAATGTTCTCCCAATTTGTGGGAAAGTAAACAAGTAGGCTTGCAGGCTTTTAACTATTTCTTTTATATGGTCTTTAAGAATTTTTAAATCTCTTGTATGTTGAATTTTTATATGCAATATAGAGGTACATTTTACCACATCCAATATTACATATGCATTATGCATCATAATTCATTGAATGTGGGAGAAGAAAAAAGTATAAAAACAAAGAAACAAACAAATACCCTTTTCCGAGTCTTCTCCTTTAGGAAAGGCCGGATCACGGTATATAGGGCGTGGATATACCAAGGTTGATTGACAAAATGAATTCCTCCAAATCGTGCTGGGAAACTATCCTAGAGTAACATGAAGGGGGAGAAAAATAAAAACATGCTTTAATATATTGAGAAGGCGTAAGGAAATCATACGGTATATAAATTTGTTACTCCGCACACTTAAATGAGATTATTTGTATAGTTAAGACAAATAAGAAAGAAGACCCTTACCGCATTAAACATTGTAATGTTCATACCTAAAGGGAAGCAATATGTAATAAAGCAAATCCTTCTCAAGAACAGTTAATTGTTAACTTCAGTATTTTTTTAAATGTTTTATTAATTTCTGAGAGAGAGAGAGACAGCGTGAGCAGGGAGGGTCAGAGAGACAGGGAGACAGAGAATCTGAAGCAGGCTGCAGGCTCTGAGCCAGCTGTCAGCACAGAGCCCGTCAAGGGGCTCCAACCCAAGAGCCATGAGATCATGACCTGAGCCAAAGTCGGACGCTCAACTGACTGAGCCATCTAGGCGCCCCAACTTCAGCACTTTTAAGAGTGCCATACTTAAGCCTACAAACAGTTAACAGTCATTATAGCCAAGAAGCAGAAATAAATACTTTTATCTATTTGTCAAATACTGAATCTAGTTAGCTAAATGTTGTATTTAAATTATTTATATTTATGTTAAAATGTACCTAATTTAAAATATTTTATTAAAGTTCACTAAAGTCAACTACAATGTGAACACCATCATATTTCAAAGCTCACTTTATCTGATTTTATCAACTTCATTATAAACATTCTGCTTCCCTTATTTCAGCCATAAAAAAGGGGAAACATGCTTAAGCAAAATAAAACCTTAGCGTTGTAGTGTAAGAAATTTGGGGATGTATTTTGCTAGATTAAATTAATTCAAAACCCTTTGAGCTCACCCATAGGAAGAAAACGGGCCTATCAAAAAGCCATCCTCCTCTTCAATGAGAAGGCTTGAGTCTGAAGTCTAGAGAGGTCTTTTCTTCCTACCCATAACCAAATAGACGCATCCCACTCACTCCATACTATGAAGGGAATCCTTAAACTGAATGAATTACAACATCTCACAGTGCACTTGAGGATTCCACATAAATGGACTGATTCTGCTACTAGTTGAAAATTCCACACTAAACTGACTACAAAAGTCTCTTTAAAAAAAAAAAAAAGGCTATACCACTAGAAGTCTCTTCTGTTATCATGATTTCAAGAGGTATCATGATAACCGGCACACTTCTGGATTTTATTTAGTGCATAAACGGGAACAAAGGAAAAGTAAAGGAACTGAAATAATCAGATGCATTTTTGACTTTAATTTTTTTCTTAAGATTGTCTAGTCAAAAACATGCATGGCATAACTCTATTAAAATATTTTACTTTTGAGAGGGCACTTAGGAACATTAATAATTAATTAGTGGTTTTGTATATTGGTTTTCAGAGCCAATAAGCATTTTTCTTTTTTTGCAAAGCGATTTCTATCTCTGAGAGTAACACATTATAAAAAGATAACAGTACTGGGTGCCTGGGTGGCTCAGTCAGCTAAGTGTCCAACTCTTTATCTCGACTCAGATCAGGATCTAATAGTTTTGTGAGTCTGAACCCACCATCAGGCTCTGCACTGACTGCATAGAGCCTGCTTGGGATTTCTCTCTCTCTCTCTCTTTCTCTCTGCCTCTTCCCCACTTGCTCTCTGTCTGTCTCTCAATATAAATAAAAATAAACTAAAGAAAAATAAAAATACAACAGTACTTAATAAATAAATAATCTAGAATAACTAAAGATAAAATGTGTCTCCTTTAATGGCAGTGTCTTCTTTCATAAATATGTAGTTTTCATTCATCAAGAAGTTATTACAATAATAGAAATGAATTAGATAGAAATGCAGACATAGTAAGTTTTTAAGTTATGACATTTTCATACATAAAAAGAAAATAATGTGTATACAACAAAGAGAATGCTAAGATAAACACCCATGTGCCCTCCACTCACCTTAGAAGTACAACATGATTGATAACCTTAAAGTTTACTGTATTCCTAGTCTTTGATCTTCTTCTACATTTTAAAATTTATATTATAATTGTTTTGCTTATATTTTATTTTATACATATTATGAATATTAAATATTTTATTTGTTCTTTAGTTTAAATTTTATATATTTTATTTTTATATTGTATCTTTTTGCTGGTGTATATATATATATTTATGTATTTATATATGTATATACATATATACATGTCCTTAAAATATATTAAGTTTTCTAACTACTTAAACTTTACAAACTAGTATACATGTCACCTAGTGAAAGTATTCTTCTGTAGTCACATAACATTGTTTTTAAGGTTCCTTGTATTTGAGTTTTCTACATGCATAGCTATAGTTCATTGTCACTATTGTATAGTATACCATTGTATGATACAGCATAATTTATTTTGTCTTGTCAGTGCATGTTGTTTTCCAAATATTTTGTCTGTTTTGCCATCACCAGTACTGCTGCTCTGCAGACATGTCTCTTGGGCATGTTCAAGTGTATATGTAGGGTATACATCTAAAATGTTAACACTGAGTCATAAAGTGTACATACTTTAACTTTACACAATTGGTAATAGCAATTGTATCAATTTATACCACTCCTTCCCCTAGCATGAGGAAAGTTCCAGTTCTTCCACATACCACACTTGGTACTGTCAATCTGCTTAATTTTGCCATTTTATTGGGTATAAAAAAGATTCCACTTAACTTTAATTCTCTGGTTACTTGGTCTTTGCTTATTTTAATTTCATCATTAATAACATAACCATTTAATACATGGTATTTTGTTTCTTAGTCCTTGAGCACCTGAATTTGTTTACTGTCTCTGCTAACCTTGTTTATGGTGAACTCACTTTTGGCTAATATTAATCACTGGGAATCCTGAAGGAGCTGGCTCAAGGATGCTTTTCTCCAGATGGGATCTGTATCAGCTCCTACTCAGTGCCATCAATCTAGTTTGGCTTTAATTTAATTTCCCATCTTAGGGTTTCTCTGATTGTACAGTGTATAATCAAATCTCAGCCTCATATGAGATAATTATGGCCTCAGACTATCACAGAAGATAATTACCATTATTATTAAAACCAATATTATTATTACTATTATTTTTCCACCTGCTTGTAGGAGAGACAGAGAGGTTTACCTAAAGGTTTCTGAGCCAGCAGAGATTTTCCTAGCACAAACCTTCCCTAAGGATGTCACACATGGAGGAATGCAAAATCTCACATCTAGTCCCCCGTCCCCAATTTGCCTTGAGCAAGTACAAGTCTACTCTCTGCTTCTGTCCACCCACACCCTAAGCAATCATTACACTCTAAATCTATAGATTCCGGCTGCAGCCAACATTTACCTCAAGAACCACCCAGGATTCCCTTATTCTTCTGGGCTTTTTTGTTTGTTTGTTTGTTTGTTTTGCCTTTTTTTTTTCAGGAGACTTTGTGTTCTTGCCTCAGGGTCCAGGGGCAGGTGAGGGGTAGGTGTGATTCTTTTGCTGTGATTTATCTAACACCTTTGTGTTTCCTGGCAGGAAGATCTTCCAAGAAATTTTAACCTACTGCATTACCCTGAAGCAAAACTACTTACAATGCTTTTAAAACATACTCTTGAATGAGCATTTAATCTCTAGAACAAAACTGAATAAATACTAGCTATCAAGTTTTATGCCAACTGTTTTTAGCACAGTGATTTTTAAACAGCGAATCACATGGAGGCCATGCCTCTTCTATTGAAAAATGAATATGTGCACATATACACAAAACTTACACGAGTTCATGGGCTTTCTTGAGCATATCTTTAGATAAAGAATGGCATAATCAGTACCAAATCACAGTTGAGACAGGGTGAAGGAGAAGGAAAACGCTGACTTTGCAATCAAATTAATCCAGGTTAAAATTCTGATTTAGTGGCTTCTCTAAAGGCATCAAAGTCCAAAACAAGGATGACATAATCCTCGATTCCTTCCTTCTCTTTACTGTGATGCCCTTGTTTCCTTCCTCTTCCTCTTCTCCTTGTGGTATTATAATCATACATATGTTAAACCTTCCTTAGTTATCTTCCAGTCCTTGGATACTTTGTGCCATTTTTTTTTCAGTGTTCCCTGTCTTTGCATTTCAGTTTTGGACGTGTCTATTGATAGATTCTCAAGCTCAGAGATTCTTTCTTTAGCCATGTCCAGTCTAACAGTAACTCCATCAAAGGCATTCTTCATTTGTTGTAGCGTTTTTGATCTCTGGATATCTTTTTTTTTTCTTTCTTAGACTTTCCATTTCTCTGCTTATACTATCCATCTGTTTTTGTATGTTGTCTAATTTATCCATTAGAGCTGTTTGCTCTGTCTCTTCAAGTTCTGCCTTTGGACTTTTTTTTAGCATACTTTATAATTTTTTTCTTGATAGCCAGACATGATGTACCAGATAAAAGGAACTGCTGTAAATTGGCCTCCTGTGATGTGGTGGTGAGGTGTCATGGGAGGGAAGTGTTCCACAGTCCTCTGATTAGGTCTTTTCATGAGTCTCTGCCTCTGGATGTGAGCTCCCAAGTGTTTCTTACTTGTTTGTTTGTTTGTTTGTTTCTCCTCCCTTACGTGGGACAGGTAGCCTAGAGTAGAGTATTTCCCTTCTGCCACTGGAAGGCTGGAGCTGGGTATCTCCCTACCCCCAGGTCAGGTAGGTTCTAATAATACCCTTGCAGATTAGGCTCCTGTTAACTAGCTTCTCCTGAGGGCAAGCCCTGTTAGGAACAGAGGAGAGCACGTGTTGTGATGAGCACCAGGTGTTGTATGTAAGTGCTGAATCACTACATTCTATACCTGAAATTAATAATACACTGTGTGTTAACTAAGTGGAATTTAAATTAAAACTCAGACGAAAAACAACAACAACAAAAACAACAGAGTGCTCTGGCATATTTTAAAGGGTTTCTTCTCCTTTCCTCCTGATAGAAACACAAGGGAATTTTTCTCTAATATTTATTGTGAGAACCTGGTCCAGCTTCTGGAAGTAAATCTCACAGAAGTGTGGATGT